AGGTCGGTGACCTAAATTAAGCTTCCTCTAAGCGCAAAGCTACGGCAGCCCCGCTGCAGCGGCCCTGCCGCAACTAAAACAAAAGAAATGCAGTTTGGATTCTAAACGGAAGAGTATATTTGCCTTGTGTTAAGGTTGTGGTTAATCTTGGAGTTAGCGGATTGCGATCCGCTACACTCGTACTGGTTTTAGTATAAGACTTAAGGTCGGTGACCTTAGCTCAGCTTCCTTTAAGCAAGAGCTACAGCAGCCCCGCTGCAGTACATCTCCCGTTACAGAAGCTATAAGCCCATGCGATGCGTTTATTAAGGTTTTATCATCACAGAGAATAAAACGCCTGAATCATAGAGCAATTTCGCTGGCGTTGACTCGACGTATCAGCGTTGTTTCACGGTTGAATCAAATACATATCAATAAACTGCAATTTTGCTGAGCTGAAAGCTACATCTTGTTTCATATAACCATAGACAGTCCCTGCGACAGTAATCGAGATTTTCGCCTTGGAAAAATTACCACTAATGCAGTAATACCTGAAAGTTCGAACTTGTAATTTGCAATTTTGTGTTGTCATCGAGTATACAATCACTCTCTCCGCGTAGAGCGCACATGCGGGGCGGTCCATTCGTTTTTCCGCTGTTTGTGGATGCAGCAGACGCTGCAGCAGCAGATGCTCGCGAGTCTTTGCATCCCGTGACCTCAACGCCTGAGGAAATTGCCGTGCTGTTCAACCCGACTCATTTAGCGTCGCTCATTCGCGTCGCAACCACCAACATCTCTGGGTACGCATATATCTAAGAGGCTCTTAACATCCTTCACATGCCGTTCATTTAATGCTGTTATATCCGGGGTAACAGCTTGGCTGGCGAGACAACAGATATAAAAGCTGATGTTCTTAACTCACTACCTAAATGGGCGCAAGCAGTCGTGCAGACAGGATGCTTCCATAGTTCGTAATGCGAAAAGACTTCCCTTTTGTAATAGTATAAACTGACGGCTGCATCAATGGTTGTTTATAGCTGGTGGAGTATTGTCTTCCCGGACAGAGTTGAAAATAAAATCAGAGCTGCAAATCGAGACAGAATATTGGAAAGCACGTAAACAAAGATCGGCAGGTCGTGTTGATAGTCGCAAAAACTCAACAGATGATACAGCAGATGAGCCTCAAAATAATTCGGGCGAAGTCAATGTTGCGCTAGTCCTAGACTTGGATAGGAAAGACGATGCGGAACTTCCGATGGTTTCAACCCATGCTGAGACCACTGCAGAGAGCGTGAGCAAGTACGCCGAATTACTCAAGAGATTGGTAAAAGAGGCTTCAAAACGGCAGCTTACGGACAATTTCGATCAGGATGACGTGGATTTGTTCAAGGACGACGAAGTAAAAATCTTGTTGCAGACTCTGAAAAGCATGAAAAAAAACTCTTGGATCTATAGTTTGGAGCCGGACCTGCTAATTTCCCTGATACAAGCCTTTGATGTGCAGGTGCGACTGGGCTTGGCAGTGGATGTGATAAGCGCTGAATTGCTGACTAAAGTGAAAGATGAAGAACTGAATGTGCGGGTTCTGAGGCTCTCAGCATCGCTTGATATTGCGATTTGCGAGCTGATCTTGATAAATTCTTTTCAGACTGATCGACGAATTCTCTCGGAGGAGAGTATTGATAGTTGTTTTCAGCTCCTACATCACGCAATTCGGAATTTTCTCCTTCCATGCATCGACACTTCGTTCGTGACGACTGCATCTAAACTGGCGACAAAATATAATGATGGAAAGCAGTTGGTTTGCCGCAAAAGTTTCGGGTCATCTCGACTAAATTTGTGTTTGATGAAGGGAACTCGCAGGGCTGTCGAACGTATTTCTCACGTAGTTTGTGAGTTCATGGATAATCTTGCTACTCTCATCACAAGTATCAAGCTTGCGGACCGATGGATACTAAGACTTTCGTCATCGATGGTGGAGCTTTTTGCTTTGGATCATAGCTCGTATGCTACTTCATTGCAGCAAAGCGCCTTGAGCATACTGCGGGGTATATTCTTGCGATACAAGTCTCATCGAGAGTTGCTGTTCGAAAATATAGTGGACATCATGGTAAAGCTTCCTACTAGCAAGCGTACCTTTAAAACGGTAAAATTGTCTAACTCTAATGACACGGTTCAGCGTATATCAACTCTGGTGGTGTCATTAGTTCAGTGTCGTGTATCTTCCAGCTCTTTCGAAACGATGGAAACTGAGATAAGCTGGCAAGAAGATTTCAAGGATGTATTCTCAAGGCCAGATAATGCCACCGAAGTCAAGTCTTTACCCAGGTGTGATTTGATGAAAAGGTTATTGGAAAATGTTCAGAACGACGCTAGGTCATTTGTTCGAGTATTTCTACGAGCATGCTGGAAGAAAACCGACGATCGTTATAATCGCATGGTTCTCGACAACTTTGTCGAAGACCTCCTTGTAATGTTTGTACGTCCTGAATGGGTGGGAGCTGAGGATCTACTTAAGGCCTTGAGTTCATCTTTGGCAAGTATATTGCACGCCAATGTGTCTGGTGGAAGAAATTCGGATCATCATCAAAGTTTGTCAGCGCTGAACTTAATTGGAAAAGTATGCACTTCGATCAAAGGTTATCAGAGGAAGGTTGCTGTTGATGGTCTGGATGATGATAAAGGCACTCGAGCACTTATTGAGGAACATGCAAGCTGCTTGCGTGCAGTCGTTTCGCTCGAGAAAAGTCAGTGTAATGAAGTAATGCTTCGCTTTGATGAAGAGATCATAAGCGAGCTTGCGTTAAAGCATATCGTCGTGACGCACCTTCAGCGACACAACCTTGATGAGGGTGATTCAATGAAGCTATTGATCTTGAAATTCATTTCGGAGCTGGAGATCCGTTTGAAAGGAGTCAAGTCCAATTATTTGGAACGTGAGAAGAGAGTTTGGAAGTCGCTGTGGGAAGGGCAAACAAGAGGCTCAGACTCGATGTTTACGATTGCCCCTCCTACTATTGAGCTAGCACTGAAGTCTTATTTACATCTCGCTGTAAAACGTGAATTTTGTGGCCTATTTAGCAAGCTCTTAGCGCACATAATGATTTTATTATCTAAGGGAGCGCCATTTCTCAAAGCGCGAGTTATGAAATGTTTGAGAGGAATTGTCGACATGGATCCGATGTTGATGACAGATTCTCGTGTGCAGCTTGCGGTTAAAAGGTGTTGCACAGATGAGAAACCCTCGGTTCGGGAAGCAGCCGTTGATCTGATCGGAAGTTATGTTTCGCAACAGCCCCTTTTGGTACTGTTGTGTTTGTTGTTGCTGACTTATTATATCGGCGTATGCTTAGCAGAATTTGTTAATTTGGCAGATTGACGAGTATTTTGGCGTTCTCTCTGAACGAATACGTGACAAGGGTATGAAAGTGCGAAAAAGTGTTTGCAAGATCTTTAAAACGGCAATTGTGATGCGGGATCGAAATCGCGGATCAATCACGGAACAAGAGCTACGCCGAAAAAGTGCTTGTATGCGGTGTTTAGTCGAACGAATTGGACATGCAGCTGAAGATCGAGCTATCAAAGATTTTGTTATCGATATTTTTCAAGAAGTTTGGTTTGGCTCTGAACTGTCTTCGTCTAGATCATTGAATATGTTTAATGACGAATTCTCATTACCAGCCGGCTGGACTGCTCTTCCAAGCGATGTCCATGAACAGGAATATTCCGCTGCTCAACTTGATAATAACATAAAATTTGTCTCGACAGATGGGAATGTCGCCCACTCGGCGGAAGAAGCTTGGTCGTTAGCTCAAACGCCCACAGTGACGCCTGCCAGTATCGTTAAAACTAATATTTCAAAACTAGACAACAGCGCTGATGTTGTTGCAACTATCGTTGAGGTCCTTCATGGTGTACCAAACTTGAAGTGGTTTACTGAATTGCTAAAAAGACTGTTAGAGGAATGCAATCAGGCAGCTGGGGCACATTCAACACAATATCGGCTGACTCATGTTGCAATAGCTCGAAATCGTTCGAAGAAAATTGTAGATCGTTTGGTAAATAATCTGATGGATCTTCAAGAAGGTAAACTTATCAAAGGTGTTTCAATCGATAAAGCAGAAGAGCAGTTTGCGGCGTGCATGACTGCTCTGTCAGCCTTTTGCGAAGCAAACCCTCAGCTTCTAGCTTGCCACCTCGATACAATTCGCGTGTATCTAAAAGAAAAGGACATTAGGGTCCAAACCTCATGTGTCTCGATTATAAACAACGTTTTGAAATTAAAGCGAGTGCCGTACACGATCGCTATGAAATTGGAAGACGATTTAAAGCTTCTTGTTCAGCGTTCTTCTCCTAGCGTTGTTGGTCCGAGTATTGAGTGTCTTGCAACGCTTTCCATAACGAGAAAAAGTGCACCCAACCATTTATTTGAGATGCTAGAGCACTATTTTCTTTGCATATGCAAGTACAAACAGAGGGATTCTTATGCTGGGTTATCGGATCAAGAGAACCAAGTGCTACAGCGTGCACTGTTTGTAGCGGGAAAAATTGTCGGTGCAACGGACATTGACACTTGTGTTGCGCTTTCGAATGAGGCTAAAGTGCTCACTATTGGTCAAATCACCGAATTGCTCTACAATCTGTACAGACAATTTGTCCAGATGCAAGGTAACGATACATGCGCAGGCAAAGCTGTTCAGGGCATGGGTTTTCTATTTTTGATCCGACCACGTCTGTTTCTTCGGGCACAGCAAGAGGGCTTATTAAGCTATCTTTTGAAGGCTGACACCCGAAAAGCGAAGCTGCAATGTCTTATCAGCATGAAGGAGTTGCTGCTATACCAGGAAGAACATTTGGGAAACGGCCATGCAACAAAGTCTTTAAATCAGTTTAAAAGCAAAGAACAGCAAGTCCAAGGCGATCAGGAAGCGGACGCCTCGTTGATTGGTAATGTCATGCAAGCAGAGTTGGAAAATGTTTTGCATTTATTGTTGCAAAAGGTGCCGCAAATCCGAAAAGCGGCTATTGCCTGCATTGACGCATTGCTTACACAAGGCTTGGTGAATCCGCTGCAATGTATACCAAATTTGGTAGCGCTTGAGACTGATCGTATTTCAGATGTTCGGGATACAGCATTCTCTCTGTTGCTAGCGCTGCATAAAAGATACTGGAGCCAATTTCATACACCTCTTATTGAAGGTATTGAAAATTCGTACTCGTTTCAGCTCAGTGTCTTCGGCGATACTACAGCGCTGGGGATCGATGAAAACGAAAAAGACTTTTGTCTCTTCGGTCGACTATTTTCAAATTGCGTTCCGACAATGAAGTCGCATAGACCGCGTTTTTTGAGAGCGCTGGTGAACCAATTTACTGAACAGGGGAGTATCCTTCGGCCATTGAGAAATAAGGAGACTATCATTGACAGCGATACGATCACATCCAGATTAAAATTTTTGTGCTATCTGGCGCAAATTTTGGCGTCGCTGCCCTACGAATTGGAGGAAGAGCCGCTTTACATTATTTATTTAGTCAATCGCTACGTGAGTCTTCGACTCGGGTACGTCCTTGTCGCTGCGTTGTTGGCTGTGCTGACAGTCTGCTTCTTGTTTAGCCCCGTGATGGATGATCTGAAGAAGGCCTTTGCCGAGGCAGGGGTCGCACCAAGTTTATTAATGAACGATGAATTAGATCTTTCTACTTTAAAGCTCGGAGAGTATTCACTGTGCCTTCCTGCTCGCTCTGTATTATCGCTTGGAATAAATGGACGAACCGCTTTCGCGATTGCACTGATGCTACGTCTAAAATTTACGCTGAAGCATAATTTTCAGTTGACTAACGAGAGGTGCGCTACCTTCAAACCCACTTCTACAGATACTTCAGCCGAGGCGAAGGAACGTCTCTTCAAAAAATTATTATTACCTTCCGTCGATGATCTGTGCCATGCCAACGATCCAATTTTGATAAATTGGAATCTATTTATGGTTGCGTGGTACGCGGCCCGGGAGGACCAAAAGCAGTTGGATATCGATCTTGAAGAAGTTCAAGCGGCAGTACCAAAGCAACGGCGCCAATCGCGCAGAGCTTTTTCATCAAAAAAACAGAAAATTCGGAAAATTCAAAGCCAGGACGAGTTTGTCGAATGACTGGTTTTAGTGCGATTTTAAATTAATAAATGTCATCCTTGCTTAATACAGTCGTCGTGGCAACTTTTTAACAAATGCAGATTCGACAGCCTATCCGTTATTAGTCGACTTCGCTTCACATCCATCGTGCGAAGAAACACACTTTCAAACTCTGTAAGTGATGCATTATACAACTTGTCTGGTGTCACCATGGGATCTACTAGTTCTAGTCGCCCGTTAAATAAATCTAATAATCCTGTAAAGCACCAAAAACGTTCAGCATCATGTGGCAGTACTTCAAACACTACTCTAGCCACGCTTAAAAGAAAGTTGCGGTCGACCGATTTACGCAGCATTGGTGCGTCACATGTCGCAATATCTTGCTGGTAGGTCTGGTGCAGGTGAACCAATCTCTCCAGATCATGCTGCGAATACAACGGCAACTTGTTATTTGCTTTAGCTGTCTCCTCATCCTTTAACAATTTTAGGCGCCTCGACAGTTTAAATGGTTGGAGATAATGTGCTGCGTCCACAAGATCTTCAAACATGGCACGTCGCTCCGTTAACACAAAGCTCCACAATCTCGAATAAGGCGGTAGCACTTCCACTAATAACAGCCAGATCCTCGCGCGATACTGTGGCGCGACACCAAGCTCTAGAGCTAAATTCAGAAGTTGCGGCAAATTGACCACCGATTCACTGAGCAGCGCCGCGAACGAGGCGTCCAAATTCACGATGTGCTGTACAACAGGAACACCTAGCGTCTTATAATAGGTCGTGCGAAAGTTGCGGCTCAGTGTCATTTGAAGGTTTGACGCCAATTTTCGAGTATGTGCCATCATTCACAAATTTGAGCGTTTATCATTAAATTTTATCCTCATTTTGGTGTTGCGATAAGCATGTGCAGTCTGCATCTATCACGACATCTGCAGAGCAAACGAGGCGACACTTTTGATTTAAGGTGAGTAAGTCCGGCAATATTGTGATTTTGGAAAGTATAGAGCTTATTGAAACGATTGTTTATTGAAGGTATTCTTTAAATTTATAACTTTTTACAAATAGTACTTGTCACCTCGACTCCCTGTATCAAGCTCCATAAGAAACAAATGCATCAATTTATGTAAAGACTCAGGAGTGCGTACCTGATATCCCAGCTGGACGTATTAAGGCATGGTAAAACCAGTAAGGAGCTGGCTGAGCTTCAGTGCTCTTCAAATACAACCGGTGTCAAAGTCCGTGCTGTCGCGGCCAATAAGGCCAAACTCAGGATATTGCTTGTCTGCAGCTAGCGGTGCCTCGCGTTCGATTCTAGCATGCCCAATCCAATACGCAAGAAGCAAAAATCAACAATCCAGAAATTGACCCAGAAGACCAATTTACAATGCCCGTTACTGCTTCAGTGCCTTCCTTGTACGTACCCTTCATTTTGTCGTGGCTCAGACCGTCGTCCTGACCTGTGCTTTTCCCGTTTGCTGCTATCACGTGATATTAACACAGACTCTTCGATTCTTGTGTAGGAAAAGCCCTGGAACTCGTTTTTAGGTGACACTGGAAGACGTTTGTCCTGCTGCAAAAAACCATGGTCGGGCAGCTCCTTTGTAAACTCACGATCGAAATTCTGAATATCCGTCGGACCGCGAACACGTGGCTTAAATGGCGGCTTGATGCCTCGCTTTTCTAGCAATGCCCAGTCGATATTAGCAAAAAACACGTGATTTTTTATGTCCTCGACACCAGCACCTGGCCGCGATCCGATTCGATGTGTTGGGTCACGCTCCAACAATGCAGAGATAAGACTTTTAACCTCAGAGCTAAGCCCGAAATGTGCAGGAAACTTAAGTGGCGACTTCATGATTTTGGCGCACATCTGCTCTATATTGCGGTCAAAGAAAGGCGGCCATCCCGTGAGCATCTCGTACATGAGCGTGCCAAGACTCCACCAATCGATAGCTTTACCGTACTCCGTCTTCTTCTTTCGGCTGATAAGCATCTCAGGAGCCAAGTACTCGGGTGTACCACAAAAGGTCTTTGCACCGGTAAAATCCGTGCAGTCCGTTTTGGAAAGGCCAAAGTCCGTCAGTCGCACGTGGCCCGTCTCATCTAGAAGAATATTTTCAGGCTTAAGGTCACGATAGATAATGTCTCGCTCATGTAGATGCCCAATCGCCGCAACCAGCTCTGCTGCATAAAAGCGCACCATTGCCTCCGAGAAAGAACGAAATTTTTTTAAATGAAAAAAAATCTCACCACCGCAGCAGTAGTCCGAGACCATTACGAGCTTCGTGGCTGTCTGGAACGAGTACTTGAGCCCAACGATAAATGGATGGTCAATAGAACTCATAATTTTGCGCTCCATCACTGTGTGCCCCACTTGGTTGCGCTTTACTAGCTCCGATTTGCGCAGCACTTTCATCGCATAAATGTTGCCATCTTTACCTCGTTCTCTTGCCATGTAGACTCTACCGAAAGACCCTTTTCCTAGCATTTTCAAAATTTCAAAGTCTTGCATGGAAACCATGTGTCCACCAGAATCATCCGACACAAGGCTGTTACTGTCACTAAGGCGGGAAGATGTTGCAAGCGTTTTCGATGTTGATTGTACTTGTTTGGGTGCTGTCACCAAATCGACACCGCGAGCTGCTCCGTCCGTGCTATTTCCATCTTCTTCTTCGCTTTCCAAAGAGCTACTCCCATCGCACAGAAATTGCGTGACCTCAATTGGTCGTGGTCGCAGAGTCAGTAATGCATTTATGTACGTCTCAATAGCCTCACGACGCTGTTCAATAACACGTAGTGACAACGACATAAAAAATTTCTTGGGTGGAAAGTAAAGTTTTCCTACTGTTGCGTAAGACCTCCTCAAATTCTTATGCAGCCCGCGAAAGTCGCTGTACCGCTTCTCAGAGAAGCGAATAGTGCCCGACTGGAAATGTACGAATACTTGAAACACTGTATACCGCTTTTTATTGCTATTGCTTCGATCTCCGCCCAAGACAAGGGCACCCATAGAACCTCCGTGCCCACCTCGAGCGTCTCTTCCGTTCCACGTCGAAAAACGTCCTGCTCCGCTGGACACAGGCGAGTTGCCTACACTGTCGGCGCCTGCAGGAATGTGTGTTCGATCAACTCGATCCGTTGCGAGCTTCGACTTCCAACGAGGAATCTCCACTTTAAGAATTTCGTCACCTGCAGGTGGTGCAGCAGGATACTCAGGATGCAGCTGGTTTTGTTTTGGACTTACCTCTCTTCTCGTGGTGAACACATGAGTGGAGCCGCGCTGGGGAGGCGACAGCGCCATACCTGACGTGTAAGACGAACCGCTGAAGCGTCCCTCTACCTGCGCATGTGTGAGCGAGTGACGCATATGCGAGCTCTTTTTGCTGTTGTTGTGGCGCTTTTTATGCGCCTGCGGTTCTTGGTTCGACGTACGTAGTCCGCCAGTGCTGTTGACATGAACCTGTTGCTGAAATGCGGCGCTGAGTTGAACACTGCCAGTCGTAGAGCGCGAGCGCGATGGAGGATCCATGGGCGGGCGGCGCGAAGCCTGCAAATATTCGTCAACTGCAGGCATATGCAAAGAGACAGAGTGTGGTCGGCCGACGTGCCGCAGGTCGTGTCTAGCTGTGTGTAATTTCTCTTGCACTTTGTGGACTTGTTGACAGTTTCCGTATCATGACGACAGTTTTTAGGTTCCTACAGAAATTAACAAACCGTAGTTTGCTATCAAGCGATTATGGAAACGACTATGTATTAAGCGTTATCTCATTGTGTTAAGTGCACTGTTTGAGATTGGTGATTGGTCATAAGACTCAGATTACTAAACGAGATATGCCACTGACATGTCACTGTCAGAGAATCGTTGCGGGTATAGCCAGAAATTCGCAGTTTGTAGAGACAGCTTTTGAACATGCCCAGATTCCTCTTACTGTTGCGCGCCGAAGTTCAGAGTGGCAGTAGACCGACCTGCAGCGATCATCAGATACTCATGACGACACCATCTTACCGAGATATATCTAAAGGTGCTGGCCATTATGTACGATAGGCGAACGAGCCACCGTTATCCAGACTGCCACTTTGCGCATGGCTATATCAAGATTCGGGCAAACCGACTGAATGAAGCTTTCGATAGACTCCAATGACGGGTCATCTTGCTGCACAGAGCAGAAGAAGATACTTATTAATCAAGGAGTGCAACCAAATTTGTCTAGCCCAAAAGAAAGCTGATAGTACCATGCTTTCGATCAGATAGAGCGCAATATCACCCTTGAAGTCCACACATGCTAGTCGCGCAAAAAGCTCGTCTCGAGCACGACCGAAAGCAGATCCCGGCAAGATTGCCACTCCTGTATCTTGTAACAATTGTGCGCACAGCTCCTCATCCGTAAAAATGCCTCTTACAGCTAAGGCTTTGCGGTGCCTTCTGAAGCATGGGAATAAGTAAAAACCAGCTTCAGGAACTTGAACCTCAACATCCATCTTCTGCAACTGGTATGCAAACCAGCGACATATGATCTGCAGTGTCTTCTGACACTTACGCTTGTACGATGCAAGTTCCAGACAGCTGTGTTGATCACAGGAAGGTGAGAAAATTTTCGCCAACTTCCTGACTTTATCTGCTTCAGTTGGTAATACGTACTCGGGTTTGAACGCTCTTCGAGCGGCGTATTGAATCGGCGAAGCCACAGAAGTATATGTTTCGGATGCCATGACAAGCATGCTTCTCCGTAACCAGCCCATTTTCGGGGGAAACAACCAAAACCCCATGCGCCAGCCACCAGCTCCGCACCATTTGCTAAGTCCTCCTGAAACAATGGTTCCTTCCGGGTAGTACTTCGATAAAGACAAATGCGTGTCGGAATGGTGCAGCTCGGAGTATATTTCATCCGACACGACAAGAATTCGATATTTTCTCGCAATTTTTGCGAGCGTTTCCAACTATCAAAGTTATTTGCGATGACATGAAATGAGCCTTTGTACAAGCTAGATCTTTGGAACTTATCACGAACCTCATCGGCCTGATAAGCGCAACCGGTCGGATTGGACGGATTGTTTAAAATAAGAATTCGAGGAGCACCTGGCAGAACGCCCCACCATCAGTATTCCACATTCATTGATCTGATAGACCATCAAAGTTTACCAGGGTCTTTAGAGCAATGCGCTTCCAAAACCTCTGGGCGAAGCACAAAGTGATCCTCTGGATGAGTTGGTAGCCACATCATATTTCTTTGCACGCAAAAACGCACATTAGATGACAAATACGATGATGTAGGAACTTTTAGGTATGATTGTCACACCTTCCAGCAATGGCAGCTTGTGGTGCGAAACTGGTACAGCTTGGGTTAGGAAGCAGGAGATCGCCATAGTACACCATCTGTAGCACAAATAATAGCTCTTTGGTGCCTGGCCCCACCAACACGTCATCCTGAGAATATTCAATATGCAACCGATGCGATCCCCATGCTGCAATGTCGCCACAGAGCTCTGGGAGCCCCGCCACAGGCAAATAATCTCTTTGATGAGAGTTGGCCCTGACAACGATGGCAAATTTGTTTTATATCAATGTGGCACGGCATGGTATCAAGCGAGAATCTTGTACGCACCGCAATTCATCAACAATACACTGTGGGATTGGAAACGGCGACTGACCAAGTCCGAGCTTGTAGATGCACTTGCCCTCCCTAATCATCTTGTTGCTGAGCTCATCCAGCGCGCTTCCGGCCGCAGTGCACAGCATTCGTACCTTACAATTAATTGCTCTTCTTGGTCCTAAAGTATCCGAAAAAAACATAACTCCTTTCCAATTTCAAAACGTTGCTTTGGCATTGTGCACCTTGGCTTAAAGTTTCCATCTGTCGCTTAACACCTATTGCAGGAGCCACTTGATCTTTTAATTTAGAGGACTCAGATGATTTTTCTCTTGTCATGTCACTCTGGTCATTAGTGTCAGCAATGGAATCCTGAACATCCGTGTTAGTCTCAGATGCCTTAAACCACGAGGTAAGTGATGCATGCTGCTGCACTCGACGTTGCAATGTAGATCGTGGAATATTAAACTTGCGGGAGGCTTTCCGCAATGACATGGATCTACTTTGAACGGCATCAACAGCCACCGCGATCTCCGCGGAATCTGTAGCTTGTCGCGGCATTAAAAAACAAATAGAATCAGAAAATAATCAGACTTCTGCCAGTGAAATTGAAGTTACGACTCTATCTTCTACCGAACAGACGTCAAATGGCGTGGCGAGCAAATAATGCACGGATCGGCCCTGGTAGCGGCCGCGGAGCGCCTTCTTCGGTACCGCGCGCAAAGCCAACCATGCAGGCTATCGCTGAGATTGAGCGAAACCGTGAGGACCGACGGCGTGCTATGGCTGCGGCCAAGCGTGAACGCAAGCGAGAAAGTCAGCTGAACGAGAAGCTGGGCCATCCGGGCGACGTGGACTTTCAGCGCATGATCAAGACATTTCGCGAGCAGAATAAGGACAAAGGCCGACCACATGCCGAGGTGGGAGACAGCAAGATTACTATATGCGTACGAAAGCGGCCGGTGAACGTCAAGGAGGTTAAAAAGCACGACTATGATGCTGTGACATGTTTAAACCCAATGGCTATCGTGCACGACTGTAAGCTGAAAGTGGATGGCATAACGAAGTATTTGGACAGCAATGCCTTTAACTTTGATCATGTATGGCATACGCTTATGATTTTGCCGGAAATGTAGTACTAACGGCATCGAGCTATTATTATGTTGTAGACGTTCGACGAAAATGCGACAAATCAGAGTGTATACATGTACACTGCCCAGCCACTTGTCAGATTTGTGTTTCATGATGGTGGACATGCTACAGTCTTTGCGTACGGGCAGACGGGAAGCGGCAAGACACACACGATGCAAGGCATTCAGAGTCAGATTGCTGCGGATGTGTTTGCGCAGGCAGACGAATTTGTGAGGCGAGGATACCCCCTTGATATCTGCGTTAGCTTTTTTGAGATCTATGGCGGACGTTGCCAGGACTTATTGCATCAGCAAGTATTGACTATTCGAGAAGATGGCGCTGGAGAGGTGCAAATTGTTGATCTAGGAGAAGTGCAGCCACAGAACACGGAAGAGTTGTTACAAGTCATCAGCAGAGGCAACAGTCTTCGCACGACACATGCTACGGAGCTAAACGATGTGTCTTCTCGCTCTCACTGCATTTGTCAGATCAATCTCCGCGACAAAGGAACAGGGCGGCTTCATGGTAAGCTGTCTTTGATCGACCTAGCAGGTAGTGAACGTGGTGAAGACACGAAAAATCACAATCGACAGAGACGAATGGAATCCGCTGAGATCAACCGAAGTCTGCTAGCTTTGAAAGAGTGCTTTCGGTATATTTGATTTGGTATTGTCCAAAAAACTCCACGTGTCTGATCAGTCAATATTTTTACATTCAGAGCTTTGGACAGTGGTGTTCGTACTCACATTCCATTCCGAGCAAGCAAGCTCACTCAAGTGCTCAAAGATTCATTTGTTAACTCTAAAGCGAGGTAATCAAGTATCGTCATTGATAGTTGTGAGAGTTTTTCTGATGCTGCGGCCGTTATCATGTCATTTCCAGAACTGTGATGATTGCAGCCGTTTCACCGTGTGCCTCCTCCTCCGATCATACTTTGAATACCCTTCGATATGCTGACCGAGTCAAGGAAAAACGCGTCTCGGCTGATGCCTTCGACCAAAAAGTTGAGAATTCTGATCCTGTTGACATTGAGGATGTCCACTTTGAAGAGGGTAGTTTTATTGCTTTGAGATTTGACGTTGCATGCCATCTCCTGACTTAGTGGTTAGGTTTTGACGTTTGCGAGGCATATACAGCACAAAGTAGAGGTGAAGACTTAGGGGAGGAAGATATTGACATAGTAGAGGACTTTTCACTTCGAGACGAATATGGCAAAAACGGTGAAATGCTTGGCCGTATTGGCAATAATGACGATAGCAAAGACAAAAAACCGGTATTATCTCACTATTATCATGGGAAATGTGATGGCTTGAGCACTTGCCATTTTGGCCACCGTTGCCACTTGAGTACGCTAACAGGATCTAATTTATGAATTAGTCGCTTTCACTAATTTGTCTTGCTGCTTGCTGAGGCATACAGATTCAGCTGACAAAATTCATGATAACGAGTATCTCAATAAAGCATGGCAAGGAGTGGTATTGAATACCATAGTGGCTATGTGGTACCAAAGCAAGATAAGTAAGATTGTTTACACATTTGCCAGGTTCAAACGCTGTATGAAGAGCAAGAAAGTTTGCTTAACACACATATGGGCGCAATTCAGGTCAGTCATCTAAGCCAGGTATGAGTAATCTCGCGGATTGATGATTTGCATTGATGACATAAGGAAAATGCCGAACTTCTTACGGAGGAAGGCGCCATGCTAGCAGCGATTCAAAATGAAGATTCAACAAGTATTGAGCAGTATATTTCGCGCCTGGAAGAGGTAGGTGGGGCTAAGTCAATTGCCTCGTTTTATCACTAAATGTTGGTCGCGTTAGATCCTTGCTCAAAAAGCACTAACGATCAGCACTCTTCGACGTCAACTCGCTACTTTTCGTCAGCACATTGAAGGCGAAGAGGAAAATATAGCAGAACCTCCTCCGAAGAAGTTCATTAAGGGTGTGGCTAGGATGTAAGATTTAAACAATTGGACAAATCGTATTACGAATTGCTTACCGTACTAACGCAAATTAAAACCACACAAAGAATCAAAATCTCCAATTTCATGGCCTGCTGTTGAAGATATTCGGACTTAAGTGCCCAAAATAAAGGATTGCTTGCTCGCCAACCCTTCCAACAAAGGCTGGATTGATGCCCAAGAGCATAGGAAACGTTAATGATTCAATGCTTATAGTATCGCCCGCTTGGTCCAGTGAGAGATATTCCCAGCGCTGCATTAGGCAACTGTTGATCCCATTTCCAAGAGAGTTTCTGCGCCTGTAAGCAGCCAGATGCCAAGTGAAATCGAGAATGAGGCAAGGCAACGTCAGATTCACCGCCGACTGTTAAGGACTCCGACAAATTTTAGAATAATTATAGGAGTGAAATCATACCAGGACATGGGAGAAAAAGTGTGACGCCATCTACTTCTATAAATTCTTCGCTTAATAAGTATGACGCTGAACTAGCTTGCCCATTCGTTGGCGTTTACCTAAATACATTCAACAATGGAAAATGATAGAAAAGTATTTTGAGAAGCTGGAGCGGGGCTGCCGTAGCTCTTTTGCTTAGACGAAGATAGGCTAAGGTCACCGATTTTACGTTATATACTAGCACCGGTACGACTGTAGCGGATCGCATTCCGCTAACTCCAAGAGTTGAACCACAACCTTAACTCAAAGTAAATAGACTCTCCCGTTCAAAAATATAAATTGTATTCCTTTTGTTTTATTTATGGCAAAGCCGCCTATATCTAAATCTATAGGTTTTCCTAATAAAATAGTAAAACCTCATAATTACAGGCAGTTCCGCCTTCTTGTTTAGGTGTAGCCACATTATTGTGTGATAACACTATCTTGTGTGACCCATCCCTTCATATTAGAGTACGTGTCACCCCCTTACACTCTTCCTCATCAAAATTGTGTATACTCACAATTCACATTTAAAAGTCGTCTCGTACGAGACTCGGTTGTCTAAGACACCTCTACGTCCCCAAGATCATTTTCACGCATTCTCTACTTAAGGATCCCCGCGTCTATGACACGAAAGACACCCAGCCTCGCTGGTTCCGAGAGTTCCCGCGGGCAGAGCCTTTCTTCGTCTCCTGCACACGGCGCAACTTCAGACTGCACGTCCGCGGCTTGAAGGGAAGCGCATCTTAAGCCCTCGGTAACCGAGCTCCACACACCGTGCCCGCCACGGACGACAGTTTACCTCGTCGAGGATTCGAAGGAAGTCGATTAAGAGTCGGATACTCCTTTCTCAGTATGGATGAAAGAGGAGGGCGAGGTACGCCAGCGGCGCGACGTGAGCCTGCTCGGATGTTGCGGACGCCGTTCCCTTTTCCCGACCTCTTGACTTCCTGGAGAAGTGGTTTTATTACTAATCGCCTCGATGAGGCACAGGAGCAGCAGTTGGAGGCTGCCCACAGGGCGGCTCTTATATGCTCACATCCACGGTTGGTCCTAGACTCTCGTTTGGAATACGGCTTTCTCCCGGCGGATCCCGCCACAGAAGCGAAGGACGCGACCACTCGATCGTTGGGCGTCTACGTGGTCGGGTCCCCGGCTGCTAGACAAGCTGAGCTTGACCAACGAAAAGCCCTCCGAGCTTGCTTGTTGGTACCTCAAGAAATCCCAATGAATAGGTACCGCGCTCGACTTCGCGCTCAAAGAGGAGGCGCTCCTGTACCCGCGATGCGGACGATTCCTGTGGTGCTCACCCCTGGTGAAACCACTGTAGATGATAAAGACCTCTTGGAGCAATGGGTGCAGCGGCACCGGAAGTTTTCCTCGCAGTCTACCTTACACCGGATTCCCAAGGAGGTGAACGTGCGCGTGGAACGCCATCTTTGGTTCGAGTTTTCCAAACTCAAGGCGCAACGCCGACTTCCTTCGTTCTGTCGCCCTGCGACAAATTGATTTATCCATCCCGATCCCACGAGCTCTGTGGTCTGTCACACGGGTGTTTCTGCGCCCACAACAGCTCAAGGCTATAGCTTGAGCTCAGCTCATGGCTCTTCGGCTTTCCTGACGTTTGCCGAGAAGTGCGGGGCGTCCATCGACGCGGAATGCCATGTTCCCTCTGATCGTAAGTGTCCACGACGTCTAAGCAGTCTTGCCGAAGTGGCACTTCAAACTCCCACGAGTTCCCGAAATCGGCGTATCCCTCCTTCTTCACATGATACTGGCTTTGACCCTGGCAAGGACGTCAACCCAAGTGAAAGTGGACGCCACCGTCCTCCTCGAGAAAATTCAGCGGCGGTCGATGACGACCTGCTCGATCGCCGTCTGGTGACTCGCGATGCTTTTTGAGCTCTTGAGGACAAGGTCCGTCGCCATCGGGGCTCCGCTGAGCATCATGCTGAGAGCGCTTACCGCCGTGCGGAAGACCTCGAGAGCTTGGAGCACCTTGTGCACACCGACTGCCTCACGTTGAGGACTTTCGCGCTCTATTGAAGCGGTTCCTAGCCGTCGAGCAGACGAATGCGTCACTTCGCACGACGGTGGAGAGCCTGGCGCCATTGGAAATTGATATCGTTGCACTCCGTGCTCAAGACCAGTTGCTAGTTCAGTTTCTGGGCGGTCGAGCACCTGTGGGCACCGCCCCGGTGCCAACGCATCCGCGTTCAGTTGCGCCGGATCCCGGTACAGTTTAAGCAGAACACCAGGCTGGTGCGCATCCTTTTCGGAAGGTGAAGCGTATGTGCAAGGCGCCGCTCGGCCACAACCTTGGAAGGTCCGATAAATCGTGGACGGAGCTTCGTCTTAAAGACAGCAGAAACTGCATATGTAGGAAGACTTTTAGCATGAAATAAAACCAGATCGCCGACCTCAAATTGTCCAGCATTTCTTCTGCTTCTTCCGTTTGCATGTTCTTTCTGTATGTCTTGACTTTCAGCCGTCGCGTCGCGAACGTGTCGAAAGACACTCAGTCTGGTCGACAGGAAGTCATCGACTTCTTTACGAACAGTGAGGAGGCTGACATCAGCTTGCCGCTCGGCTATTACCCCACCAAGCCCTGATCCATGGATGGCGGCGTCAGCGGGACGCGAGGATGAACAAGCTCGTTCGCGTAGAAGGGCGTGTTGCCGGTAGACGCATCCACTGCATTGCTCAGAGCGAACTCCACAAGTGGCAGCATGGCGGTCCAGCACCTCGGCGTCTCAACGCAGACGCTGCGAAGGAAACCTTTAACGACGCGTTTAAACGATTCGTTTGACCATCGGTCTGCGAATGGTCCGCTTTGTCATTTTGGTGACCAGCACCTTAAAGATCGTTGATGAAAACTGCCCAGTGAAGCTTGGGTCTCTGTCAGATGTAATTTATCCCGGGAGTCCATGTTGTCGAAAGAAACGACCCACAAACAGCGTCGATGTACTCACACCGGCGTTGGTGTCCGACACCGCTGCAAGATGAGCTATCTTGCTCAATCAGTCGACGAAGCCAACGACACGCGTGTTGCGCCAATTCCTTCGGCAGACCAAACACAAAGTCCATATTTAGGAAAGACCAACAACCGGAGGTTACCGGCAAACTCGCATGAATCACCGCAGCATTCGGAGGGTTTCCCCTCTGACATGTCTCACACATGCGCACATATGTGCTCGTCCATTTGTACAGCTTGGGCCACCAATAGTGGCAGCTCACCGAGCTGGACGTCTTCTCACGACCGATATGTCCACTAAGTGGGGAGACGTGGGCCTCACAGAAGATACGATATTTCAAATCATCATCGTGCGGAACCACAATTTGTGCCATTTCCGTTGAATCGGTGCTATAATATAGCAACCCGTTACTCAACGAATATCGGTATGACCGTGCGCGCAAACGCGCCGACAATTTCTTGTTCGAGTTTCCAATCTCCTTGCTCACGAGAGCCTGTAGCAGCGCTACACACATACTATCACCCGCGTATGCGGCGTGGATCACATCCGCCACTGCTGACGTCACCGTCGTGACATGAGCAAGCTCATAGTCCGGTTTGCGTGACAATGCATCAGCTAAATCATTATGCTTTCCTGGTTTATATTTCACCTCAAAGTCATATTCTGCAAAGAATAAGAGCCACCCGGCCATTCTATGCGAGAGGTGAGGCAACTGAGTCGCAGTGTGTAATGAAGCATGAACTGTGTAGATCACAAACGGCTTTGAGCCCAGTAGGTGCACCCTGAAGTTGACAATTGCATACTTCATCGCAAGTAACTTCTTGTCATGAATTGGGTAGTTCTTCTATGCAGCTTTGAGCAGTCGAGATTTGAACGCGATCACCCGATCTCGCCCCTCGGCGTCTACTTGCAGTAGAGCACAGCCGATGGCAAAGTCCGAAGCATCACAGACAACGCTAAAAAGACGATCAAGGTCTGGCAGCACCGGTATTGGTGCATGCAGGAGGCTGTCTTTGACACCGTCAAAAGCCCCCCGATGCTCGGTGTCTCAACACCATTCCGTATCCTTTGGAAGGC